CCCCCGCCCCCTCACCCTCGTCCATGGCCATGATCATGTCCACCAGCGCCCTCACGATGCCCCAGCCGTGCTCCATAGACAGCTGGATCTGCCCCGCAAAGTCCCGCGGCTTGGAGGTCTGCACGTTGAGCACCACGTGGTTGGCGTTGTCGCGCGGCCCCGCGCGCGTGACGTAGCCCCACTTGATGGCCTCGCAGCCCGTAAGGAGGGCCTCCACCGTCCAGCGTGCCACCTTGGCCTTGTTGTTCTTGGCCTCCGTCAACAGCATCTGGGGGGTGTGTGGGGATGGGTGTGTGAGTGTGATTGAATGTGTGTGAAAGCGAGAGAGAGCAAGAGTGTGTGCGGAAGTGCGCGTGTGTTGTGTGCAGGGCGTGTGGGGAGGGAAGAGATATGCAAGGCGAGGAGGGGAAGTGGGTGTGGAGACATGTGAGCTGGACCCCCAACCCCCGCCCACTACAACCCCCAGGCACACACACACACACACACACTCTCTCTCACACACACACACACACACACACGCCCAAGCACAGACGAGCACCCAGCTCGCCACCAACCAGGGCCCGCCCTCTCACCCCGTCCCCCCCTCTCCCCCCCCCTCACCGATGCGCGGCTCTGGTCCAGCTTCTTGCGCCAGTCCGTCTCCTTGAGGTTCCACTCGTTGAGCGCCTTGATGGACGCCAGCTGCACCTCGCCCTTGGGGGTGGTCAACGCAGCGTTGACCTCGCAGCGCACAACAATGTCCAGACCGGGGGCCAGCTGCCACTTGCGGTACCTTTGTGGGTGGAGGGTGTTCAGGGGAGAAAGGGAGGAGCGTGTTCGTGAGCATTCGTGTATGTGTGCGCGCAGTCGCCAGCGGAGGCTAGTGCAGTCCCCGGCTGCAGCACAGGTGCGGGGGCGGGGCGATCCCCGAAGGGCCGCCCTGGTGGTCACCTGTATGCGGCTGACGCGAGGTCCTCCTCCTCGCCACCAGCAAAGGGGTTGGCCCCGCCAAGGTCGTGGCGGGGG